AACAGTTAAATTGAATATTCCGTCGTCGGCCATTGATATATTGTTCAGCTGCTGAAGCCAATACGATTAAGTCCATGTTTGGATAACTTCCTCTCCCCTCTTAGAGACCTTATTTTTCTTCCATCAGTTGAATAGTACAACTTTTAAATGTGGCTCGCTGTAGAGTAAGTTGGGATGAGAAATAAGTAACAGCCTAATCGCTCTAGATAAATTACTCAAGAATTCATAACTTTGGTTCTACTCGATATTTTGTTTTCATTTGAAGCCAAGAAAACCTAAATATAATGTCAAAAATTTCAAAAGTCTGCCATAATCATTCTGAGCTTACCCCTAACAAAATTTCGTTGGACAACGCGGAAATACAGACAGACAAAAAAAATTATTTTTTTATTTTAATGAAATTTACGACTGTATTACATAGAAAATACAACAAGTAAATGTGACATTGGTAACATGACATGTACAACATATCTTGAATCTGATAGGTATCTGGATTGGGCCCAATCGGAAACATATAGAACATTAAGGTCTTTATGGATGATTTTATTTGTGACAATGTAAGGAGCGTAGAGGACTTTACGAAGGATTTTGGATTGTAAGGATTGGATACGAGAGGAATTCGATGGTTTAGCTCAGCCCCAAGTTAGTCCAAATAGGTCTTATTATTGTCATGTATATGAGTCGTTTGTAATTGATTGGAAGCTTAGAGCGTTTGTCCAGTAAGTGTTGGAGTAGTCGGAAATGTCGGGCGGCTTCTAGTCGTTTCAGTCTGGAATAGGGGTTCAAAAAAAAATTTTTTTTTTAAAGTGGTTTTGGTGTCTGTAATGTATGAAACGAAAAGATATCATGAAACAGGTTGATTCTATTCAATGTACAGACAAAACCTTTATTTTATTTATATAGATAGATTACAGTTATCAAAATTAGGTTTTGTACCAAATATAAAATCCTGTCATGCTCAAATACCATGAATGGAGTACCGTTGGATTCAGAATTACACGGGGTTTTAGCTTAGGTACTATCCGCTTTTGTTTTTCTTTCTAAAATATATAAAGTCGATATATACATTTTTCTAGGGTTCGATACTGCAACGGTGGTAAGTCGGTAGATCGATTCGGAACAAATTGGGCTTTGAAGATTTTGATGCGTACTCCAAGACCCCTTCGGAACTATCAGGCCCTGAGTTCTTAAACCCAACGCCGTACTATTTTCGAGATAATGCAAGCCAAAGGGTTCGTATCCACACAACCTTACGTTGATTGAAGTACTTTTTCATCGATCTTTTCATCGACTTGAGGCCTCTATGATCGAGAGAGGAGTTTATATTGTTTAGGAGAGATTGAAAGAAAAGGAATGTGTAGATACCTAATCTTACCTTGATTTTCCTGTTCTAAGTGAAACTCCTAGCTAAACACACCTATAATTCTCTATTTTTATTCTTCTAATTTTATTTACTTATTTATTTATTTTTTGGATTTCTTTTTTCTTTTCTTACCCCACATTCCTTTATATCTATTATTTCACATTATATCCTTTTTCCTTTTCTTCCAATCTCCTGTAGATCTGTAGAAGTATATTCACAATTACATATATTATATATTCACTACAACGATTGTTACCATTTATTTACTTCAGTTCAGGATCTTGTTACTTGGCTTACTTTTTTTATATTATAATGTACTTACTGTTTATAATTTTAATAAGCTTATTCACATTAATAATTTTTTGTCTAAATATTATATAACTTCCACAATTCTTTATATCTTTTTGCATCTTATCTGTTCGAGCTCTTAAGAAGACCTGCAAAATCAGGTCGAAACGTTGACTTTTAATAAAATAGTTTTGCCACTATTTAGCCTGTTTATGACCGCAACGGTCAACTATTTTGTAGGATTATATGAGCTTCTCAGTTGACAGAATGACGGAATATTCAGTATTTTTTATTATTAATTTTAGTGATATTTCTTGTGGAAAAACTAATTGCTTCATTCACAGTTCCATATTTCAAAACTGCAATCACCTACTCTGTAATCAACTTACTCAAAAATATTGAAATTGGAGTAAGTCATTATGTCAACTGAAAGGTTCATATATATAATTATGAATAATGTTTTGAAAAAATATTAAAACATTATGAATTATCTTTATTTTGGGTTTGATATATATTTGTTTTTATTGATTTCAATAAATTAAAATCATTTTCATAAGGTTATTTTTTTTTTATTTATAACAGCAAAACATCACTGAAAACAAAATGATTATGCCATTTATACTTTTTTTTTTTTTAATGATGAATCTGTTTTTTTTTTCTTTCAAATTTTTTCCCTATTTTGATAATTTGTAATTTTGTCTTCTTGAGAGTTTTATGATGATTGTTTTATGATACATCCAATTCTTTTTAAATATTTCAATAGCAGATTTCTGAACCATTTCATTTTTATCTATCAGTGTTTGAACAGCTAAGCAACAGCTGTTTTTTGGGGGGAGGGTTGTATTAAAATGGCTCTTGCCTTCTAAAACCTAAATGGGGAGGTATGATTTACATTTTAATGAGAAGAAATGAAATTGGAACAGTTTTTCTGTATCTTTTTTTTTTTATGTTATATCCAAAGAAAAATCTGTGAAATATATTTTCTAGAAGAAAATTCAATTTAAAGGTTTAATTTCAGGATGACAGGTTCAAATAAAAGTATAAAAAAGCAAAATATATCACAAAAAAGAATGTAATTTCACTCTAAAAATAACTGTACAAAAATTTATTTATATATAAAAATTCCATCATATAAAATATAGGTCTAATGTACATAAACGGTATGAGATCACATCGATACAGATTTTTTTCTTAACCTAGATAAAAGCTATTTACAATATTTATAAAAAAATAATACTATACAGTAATTGTTTAAATTAAAGCTTATTTATTGACTATATTTGGGCTTTTACAGCCCTAAATGCGGATGTTACCGCTAAATATAAATAAATTCAAATTTTAGGCACTCAATAGAAAAGTAGTACAAAAATTCTGATAAAATACTTTTGAAACTAGGTATAAACTGAAAAGAAGAAATATATATTTTAATTTGGACGGATGTGAAACAATGAGCAAAAATTGAATACTTTTAAGAACAATTTTAAACGTCTTACAATCACAAAATGTTTTTTAACATTTATGGATAGAATAAGTAAATTTGGAATAATTAACACTATTTTTAATAAAATTCAAAATAAAATAAAAATATATCTGTGATATAGTCTGATCGTTGTAATTTGAGTTTACATAAATTTTATGAGAATTTGTATACCTGGCGGTCATATAGCGATATTATAAGGCCTACAATATCAGGGCTCAAGTTACAGCGATCAGACTAATTTTAGGGAATATTTGTCTGAGTTTAATTTATAAGCCAAGTGCATTAAAGTTAAATATTTTTAGTGCCTTCGTCGTCATATCGTGTGTTTTGTTTTTGTCTTTAGGAACGAATTCTGATATACTGGTTGTACCAAATATCAATATGAGCAAAATTTATTCAGTTTCGACTAGTGGTTTCAACAAAGCCAAAACATTTTTTTTTTTTTCAAAATAATTTTAAGTACTGTATATATAATCACTCATACAGAAATATAAAATTCCAATTTCTTTGTCAATGACTAGTATTTTCGTATAATAAATGCCACACTGTAATATGTCAGACTGGAATTATTTTTTATAGTGGAATAAGTTTATAATTTTATACAAAAAAAAAATTATAAAAATGAACAATTTTCTTTGAAGATCTTGAAAAAGTAGATAATGCAAAACTTAATTTATTGTAATTTATCTTCTGCTTAGATTGTCTTTCATTAGTTTTTAGTTTTTCAAGACCGTCAAATATATTTTTAATACATTGTTATATCTAAATAACAATGGTAGAATTTTCGGAAATCGTGTCAAATTTGTATTACTATATTTTAATATATAATATAATTTTATCTTTATAACTAATATATTAATAATTTGTAGTTGTATTTGATAAGTTTAAATAAAAATATTTATTGTTTTTCACAACTCAAAACTTCTTAAGAAATAGACTATTAATCTTTTTTTTTTTTATCACAGTAATGTCCAATTAATTATAATGTGTTAGCTGCATTTAATTATATTTTTATTAACTGCAGCTAACATTTAATACAAGTATACAATTCTTTTGACAAGTGAAGTAGAGTTTTTTCATTTCTAATAAGATTAGAAAATTTTATCCAGTATTCTAAAAAATTAGAATTATACTGAGTTTTTTTTCTTAATTCTATAATAGATTTGTCCAAAATTTTTAGATAAAAGTGTTTTTCTTAAGAAGTTTTTCAAATTTTATTTGTCTGACATATTTTGAAATCCCTTTTAAGAGAAATTTAGGACTTCATACAAAATAATTGAGTTGTCTCATATCAAAGAGGGACTTCTGTCATTTTTTTTAGAAAGAAAAGTTTGTCTTATTCGCTCAACTTAAACTGTTTCTGATGATTTTTTCAAATGATGTAGAGATGGTTGATCGTTGATATAATATGAGAAGGAGTTAATCGGGGGCTGCGGTCAAATAAATACCAACAGATAGTTATTATTTAAGTTTCAACCCATTTTGCAGGTCTTCTTCAGGGCGTAGGATGTAGCACTGCGGTAGTCTCTACTCCAGTGTTTCAACTGCCTCCTACCCCCTGAAGAAGGCCTGCAAAGTGGGTCGAAACGTCGGCAAAAAATAAATAATTACTATCTGTTTAATTTATTATTTTTTGACCGCTCCCCCAGATTAACTCCTTCTCATTTTTTTTTAAATGTTCAAGTTGAAACATCGAAAAAAATCGTGTTTAAGTTGCAAAATTAGGCAACATTTTAAAAAATGACAGATGTCCGGTTTTGATGTGAGGCAAAGCAGTTGTCGCATCCATTCAGTGAGTGCTGTTATTCAACCATTCATAAGAGATTGAAAGACATAACGTTCGCGCCACCGTATCTGAAGTTACGGTGCTCAGTAGGCCATCTCCGTGCCACCCCAAGGCCTGTACGGCTTCTGGTGACTAGAGGTGGGGGGGTACTCCTGAGGGTAGTGGTGCTGCGAGTAGTGGTAAGGAGGCGGAGGATGGTGCGAGACCGGGGTGAGGGGTGTCAACGTGGGACCCTCGCACTCGAAGGAGGTGTTCGCCGACGAAGAGGATCCGCTGGTGTCCGCCCAGGGCTTAGCCCCACTGGGCCCCACCTCGGGCCAGGGCCTGGACAGCTCCCGCTGAGCCGCGAAGCACTGGAGGTGCGACATCAGCCGAAGTCGGAGAGGATCCTGGCTGTCCAAGCCTTCCACCGTGACCAGGTAGCGGGCGACTTCGGCGGCGCACTCCCGGAACCCGATGTTGTGGTAGTCCATCGCCAACTTGGAAGCGTCGTAAGAAGAATTGTCCAAACCTGCAAGAAGAAGATGAAGGAACATTAGTTATACACTTGAGGAGAGTACCTTATTATATCAGTAAATAAATTTTAAAATAATAACAAAATAAAAGGTGTACGTTTCAATATAAAAAAAAAAATATCTGGTGTGTCCACTCACACGACTTTCCTACCTATTTCAGAAAAGTTTTTATATCTTTACATATGTTCATGAAGAAACAAAAATAATTGAACTAGATACATTTTCCTGAAAATCGATCAAACATAAGATTTGAGTACGATTTATTTGATAAATTAAAGCAATGTAAACCGGCTGAAGGTAGATCAGTGTATAAATTTCAATACTAACTAATATTGCTGATCGAAAATATTCATTCTTTATTCATTTTCGGTGGAGCTCCGTGATAGACTGAAAAGATTAATGAATAGGTGCGTAAGATTTGTTATTGGTGCCCCGAGGTACTCCCATGTCTCTCACCACTACACTGAGTTAAGGTGGCTCTTCCCCTCCTTCCGAAGGCAATATTTTCTAGGTACGTTCCTCTACCAAATCATCAACAACCATCGTCCTTCTTACGCCTACAACCTTCTCCAGTTCAAATCCTCTGTCCATTCCCTGTCCACAAGATCTCGACCTTCTGACCTTTACATGCCTTCTCACAGATCTGCCTCATTCCAAAATTCCTTTATTGTTCGCTCTGTCAATTTCTGGAATTCCCTCCCTATCAAAATTCAACATTCCCCCTCCATATCCACATTCAAATCCCTCCTATTCCAATTCCTATCACAAAAACAGTCAGATACTTGCTAACCATTCGAGCGGATTTTAATAGAGAATTTGATACATTTTTATTTTTTAATTCTTTATTTTTTTCGGAAAAGTGTATACTGGTCTATAAGAGCAAATAGCTTTAAGTGTCTTGTCATAGTATTAATGGTTTTGTATATAGTTTAGTTTGTTTTGTATATAGAATTTTTACCTTATATTTTTTTTTACATTATTTATTTTTTTCGATGGATTTTATTTTGGCCAGATGTAATATTTTAATTTTGTTCTATTTTGTTATTCTCAAGGGACTGTGTCCCAGAATAAAGTTATTTTTCTATCTATCTTAAAAAAAAACTTTTTGCCATAGCTTAGTATTGTCAAACAATAATTTCTGTTAAAAGTAGAGGAAATAGTGAAGATTGTTTGATACGGGCAACAGATTTTCTTACTTTCACTTAGTCAACTTTATTCTCTCATTCACCCCTTTCTGACACCAGGATATGAAACCGTAATCTTACATTGGAAATTGAATAGCTGTAACATAGTTAATAGTTGTCCAAAATGAACTATTTTTATATGGCTTTGTCGGTAATTTAATTACCTTTCAAAAGTTTTATTATAAATTTCCTCTTGAGATCATTGTGTTTCATACCTTTTTACTAACAGTTTTGCTAAGAGGAAGTTGAACATTTATCTTATCCTTATAGTTAAATAAAAATATAGAATTTTTCTGAGGTATGTCCATTACTGGTACCAACCCTCTGTCCATTACTAGAATAATTGAAGTTCGGGGTATTTATCACTCGTGAAAAATGTAAGAGTAAGGTTATATCAAACAGCCGATAAGAAGCGATGAAGGTAAAAAAAAAAAGTGAAGTTAAATCTTAAAAACAACAAATTAATAAATTAAAAATAAAATATTCCAATGTGTATAAAACATCCATATTCAACAAAATATTTGGTTATATTAATCAGCTGTTTTTTATAACCTTTCTATACTATATTTATGCAACCTTTTGTTTCATTTAGTATGAATTTTTTCCATTAGTATCGTAATTGGCTTTCGTTTTCGTGTTTAAAAAGCATTTTCTGTCTTAAAAATATCAATAATTATATGAAAATCAATAACTTTATAATAATATTATTTTAAAACAAACCCTAGGCTCTCTCAAATAACTCTCTCGAACATCAAGACATAAACAGAACATTTCATTATTACAGATTAAATACTAACTTAATCTTTACATCTGAATTAAGTAACTAATTTTTTTTTTGTTTTTCAACATAGAATCCCTTTGTTTTTTACAGTTTTTTTCCCCGATATTTTCGCGAATAAATATATTTCAATTTTGGTTGATCACGTATAATGTTCTTTGAAGTATGAATTAAAGTGTGCCTCCGTTTATTAGAGTAAATATTATTTTAATTTCATTCAAATATAAGGTAAATACATATGTTTCCTATTGATGGTCGAACTGGAAGTACAGTTATCTGAAGTGACCTACTAAAACAGGCCACTTGATTTCACTCTCTACAGATACAACATAAACATTATAAAAAAGCCGACATTAATAAAGCGGAAGCCATGGGGATAGATAAGGAACAGCCAGAGAGCAAACTGAGGCTAAAGCCGTCGTGGGAACCACACCTGGTCCACTCGGATATGGCCGCCTCCAGTTCGTTCTAGTTCACACGCACATCAGCTGATCTGGCTGGACGAACTTAATATTATTTTCATAATACAATGAGTATTTAAAAATAATTAGATAGATAGATAGAAAAAAAAACTTTATTCTGGGACTAAGTCCCTTCAGAATAACAATAATGTACAAAATAATAGAATATTACTGGCCTGAACGTTGAAACAATAAATAACATTGATAAAATAAAATAAAAAGTAAAGAAAACCTTAGGTGCACAAGCTATATACAATACAGATACAACTATGTACAGAGCATTTAAAATTATGAATAAAACAATTAAAACTATGAACGAATCATTTGAACTATGAACAAAATTATATTTAAGGGTTGAACAACATAAACATACACTTTGAGAAATGAAGAACGGAAAAGAGATACAATGAGTTCATTTCATAAAAAAAAAAAAACTTTACTTGAATATATATATGAAAATAAACAGTTACTTATAATTGAATAAAAAAAAAAATACAAAAAAATGTATGTATTGAAATTCCTACGTCGATAGTAGGAAATGCATGTACTATCTCTTACCAAGTGATATGATTGCTACACAATACATATATAATATTAATCGTTAGCTGGTATCTGACTGTTTTTGGAACAGGAATTGGAATAGGAGGTTTTTGAATGTGTACAGGGAAGGGGCATGTCGAATTTTGATCGGGAGGGAATTCCAAAAGTTGACAGAGCGGGCTATAAAGGAATTTTGGAATGAGGCAGATCTATGAGAAGGGATGTATAGGTCAGAGGGTCGGGATCTTGTAGTGAGTGAATGGATTGAGGACTTAAATTGGAGAAGGTTGTAGGCATAAGAAGGACGATGATCGGTAATGATTTGATAAAGGAAAGTGCCAAGGAAATATTGTCTTCTTAAGGAGGGGAAGAGCCACCCTAACTCAGTGTAGTGGTGGGAGACACGGGAGCGTCTCGGGGTTCCGATTACAAATCTTACGAAGCAATTCATAAGTCTTTTGAGTCTATCACGCAGTTCCACCGAGAGGCCATCGTACACCACACAGCTGTAGTCAAAGTGGGGAAAGATGAGAGAGGAAACTAGGAGTCTACGGGTATTTTGGGGTAGAAGATGGCGGAAGTGATGGAATAGTTTGAGGGTAGAAATTGCACTGCGGGATATATGAGAGATGTGGTGATTCCAGGAAAGGGTTTGATCTATGAGAAAGCCTAAATTTTTAACAAAGGGATAGAAGGTGATGGGGTGGTTGTTTAGATAGAGTGAGGGAAAGTTGGTGTGGGATCTAAGAATTAATATTTTATTTCACCTTGTTTATCCAGGATCTGGAAGAATGATTCAAACTCCAAGAGCAGAAAAATAATTTTAAAAAACTTTTGTAGTCCAGTCAATTAATGGCCCAAAAGTGTGGAGTGCGTGAGCAGGGACCTATGCAATCTTTCATAAACTTGTTCAGGGTGCTTAGGTTATTAACATATCAAGTCGGCACTTTCAGGTGACGTCAGGAGGTCTAGGCGGTGAGCCGGAGGGAGTGGGGGAGGAAATGTCACAATTTTTGTATTTTCGCTTAAATCTCGAAAATGTTGCATCGCAGAAGAAATTGTTCAAGTAATAAATTAAAGTTTTAAGTTCAAGTAATAAGTTAATTATTATTATAAATTAATTATTTAATGGCCTGTTAAAGTTCAAGTAATAAGTTAAAGTTAGATATACCATTCCTTTGTAGAAAGCGTAGCCACTTACGGATCAGAAGTCTGGACACTGACAAAAAAGATGGAAAATAAGTTGCTTTCCATGGAAATGGATTTCTGGAGAAGAAGCTGTGGCATATCCAGAATCGAGCGGATCCCAAACGCAGCAATTAGAGACAAGGTCGGATGTCAAAAGAACATCCTTCACCTGATCGGGACCAAACGGTTAAAGTGGTATGGCCACTTAATGCGGATGGATGAGAACCGCTGGCCAAAGAAAATTTATAACTATGTGCCACCTGAAAGAAGGAAGCGTGGAAGGCCAAAGAAGAAATGGATAGAGGACGTGGAGGAAAGCATGGCAGCCAGAGGGCTTCGTGAGGGAGATTGGATGGACAAGGAGCAGTGGCTTTTGGGTATTGGGGATATGACTCCTTGAGTTGTATAAAACCCAAATAATAAAAAAAATAAAAATAAATTAAAGTTCATAATATTAGGTAAAACTTTTATTCTATAGGTTTTATCCGAATTCTAAACCGTTATCGAGCTACATGCCCAGGAAGAATTTATGTTTGAAAAAAAAATCATTTTGCCTCACATTTTTCAACAAAAATTCCTTCATATCGTCTAAACTTTTCATCTCAGAAAGAACTTCAAAGTTGTAGATACTTAAATTTCCTATTAGAATATATATATATATATTACCTGTACCACTACAACCCATGAAGGGTCTTGGGTTCAGTACTATTTAAGCGGACCCTACACGGTAATTTATGAATGAACGTCACAAGAATGGCAAAGATTGTTCGGGATCGCTTTGATCATCGTTCAATCATTACTGTTCATTACTTATCATTGCTGAAGCCAATTTAGCTCAGTTGTAAACAAAGAAACAGCTGTACATTGTCA